AGCTGAGGGATTTAATGAAAAGCAAAGGGCAAAGGTCTGACAAGTGATTGCCACATTTCAGGTATTTAAAAATATCAGAGCCTAAGTGTCATCCAAGTTGGGGAAATCAGCTTAAAGTAGTGATGTCTCCTTGTAACACTGATAAACTCGGTGGCTGAATTCACAGCTCTGACAGGCTGTGCAAGGAATCTTGCAGGTAGCTTCTCTGCTGCTTTCAAAATTCATGCCTGGTGCTTAATTGGACTAACAAATATGGGAAAGATGCACCACAGCTACCTGGCACAGCGGGCTGTCTTCATCTGCAAAATGCCAATGGGGCAGCCAGCTCGGATGGTACTGGGGCAACCTGCTGTTATGCTCTGACAGTGCCGGCCATCCCGGGGCTTTTTATTCCTTGTCAATCCCCTCCTTCCTCCCTTCCCTGCCCCGGGCAGATCCGCAGTGGCTCTGGTAGTTCCAGGTAACTAATGAACCATTGCTACTGCAAAAGCACCTGCATGTTAAAAGCAAGATAATGATGGAGCTGTCAGGCACGCAGGCAAAAGCAGGGGATAGATCCCAGTCCCGTCCTGCTGCATTGAGGTGATCAAAGCCAGTGCTGCAAGCTGAGGCAGCATGTTCACTGTCAAGGAGTGAGCTGTAATGAGGATTTTTCACAAAGACAGAGCGTGCAAAGAGAATCCCTAGAAAAATATTTCAGCCTGGTTATCTCACTATATTAGAAGGGGCCCATTCAAGCAGCAGGTGCTTCATCCAGGAAAGCAGAGGCATCTCAGAAATGGGAGAACGGTGTCTACGTGATGAGAAGGGACTTGGCTCAGAATAACTGAGAAGTAGGATGAAAGATGTATTTTTGAGGCTTTGAGAGATCAGGATGGGAGACCACAGACATCTGTGCTCTGGGGCCTACTCGGAGTAGCATCCATACTAACTGGTACAGAAGTGCCTTCTGCTTTTCTAATGACCCTTTCTCTTGTGCCTGGARAACAGAGCTTGGGCAGAACTGGGTCCCACTGTGCTGCATGACACTTGGGCATGTCTGGGAAGCCCACCTGCTTGCTCCTGGTGGGAGTTGTGAAGAAGAAACCCTGAGATTTGCTGTTGGGGTCCCAACTGGCCACCTCTTCTCAATGCTGACTCCTTGGTTGTGAAGTCCAGCTGAATGTCTACTATTAAATCTCTCGAAGCACTTGCCTCCTCCAGTCCCTTTGTTGACCCAGTTCTTTCTGGTTGCTATGGAGAATTGGACTCATTTCCATTTAGCAGCTTTCGAGCTGCTCTTGTCTTGACTGYGTGGACCTGCTCTTGAGTGCTGATGTTGCAACCAGACCTCATGGGAGATTCACAGCAGACATGCTCATGAGGCAGCTTGGCTTTGCAGATGCTACTGAGCACATGGAGGAAAGCTCCTCTCTGCCCCTCCTCCAGGTATGTATCCTCCAGCATGGGTGGGTTTTCTGTTAGAATCCTTAACACAGGTTGGATCCTGGAGTGCTGCCTGCATTGAGGTATCCCCACTAGCCCCACGTCCTTCCCTGCCAGTCTCAGGTTCTTTTCTCCAGATGTTGGTTCACACTGGTGGTAACTTAGACTTGCTGTGCTCGTCTTCCCTAGATGGGTGGGTGGCTTCACTCAGAGCCCACAAACCCTCAACTTTCTCGATTAACAGGCAATTTTCCCCACTGAGCTGAGCTTAAATAGTAAAGTTTTTCTTGGTATTTTCACAGATGCAGAGAGAGGTCAGTCCATAGCCACATCAAGAGAATATTTCTACAGCATGTTAAGGGATGCATTGAYAGGGCTAATGATCAAGACTTGACAGTTCTGGGTACTGATTCTCAAGATGTGTATTAAAAAACTATATTATATGAYGAAGGATTAATTTGAGGCCAGCTCAGACATGTAGAAGAGCACGATAAACCATTTGTYCCATGCAGGTGATCCCTGGCACTGTCATATCCTTCTCCCGATATATCACTAGTTCCCCCAAGCCTATGGAATAGCTTGAAAAAGTCCTTCTCCCGCCTCCAAGTATCCTCTGCCTTCCTCTGCCAGAGAGCTGAACCGAAAATGGGATCTGTGCTGGAACGCAGTGAGGGGAGGTTGCTGCTTCAGACGTTCCCGTAGCTGCCTTCATTACGCTAGCAGTCTGCAGCACAATCCTTGCCCCGTTGGCAGACTGAAGGAAGCAATTTCTTGTTTGAGTTGCTGCTTGTGTGACAGCGAAGTCTCCCRTGTTTAAAAGCAGATTCCTGGAAAGCAGCAGTAAAGCTGATTTCATCTTGCTCGGTGACGTCTTTCTCCTCCTATGAAGCAACCTGCYATGTCAGTAATGGGTTTAAACTGCATTTCACAAGTGCCCACCAAAAACAGATCGTTTCCTTAGAACCCAGAGGTTAATGGAGGAAGGCTCCAAATAAATAACGAGGAAAGAAGAAAAGCTCTTAACTGCTCTCAGCTGTTAATAAAAAAGAGTAAAGATGACCAGCTATTACAATGTCTTTGCAGGGTGAAGTCTCCTTTGGCTTTGCAGAAATGTGGATAGAGCGCACGCGGCCATATCCAGTTTGCTATAGGGCCTGGAAAGAACATCCTCATGCTGTGGATGGATGTCCTGGTTACCCTGGGGAGCTGGCTGAGGACAGAATGAAGCAGGGAGGAGGAGGATATCAGGACAGATGTGCTCCAAGGGCCCTGGGCATGGCCAGGAGACATGGGAGAAGACCTTGTCATTGTTTTGTCCGGGACAGATGTCCTTTTTCTCCACACTAACCCCTACTCCCAGTGTGATGCAGTGAAATTCTGATCCATCTGAGTGCTTAGATCTGCTCTGCAGCACTGCAGACTTTTCTGACCCTCTTAGACAACATCCATGCCCAAGAGGAGCCAATCCTCTCTCTGGCTTTTCTCCATACATTGCATTTCCCTTGTGGGAGCTCTCAGCCTCTGTTTTGCCTCATCCAGCGACCTCTACAAACTTGAAAAAAAATCTCTATTTCTGCGAGTCCTGTTGTTATGTTCGAGGGGAAAAAGCAGGAGGTTTTTGCCCCCAAACCTGAAATTATTCAGTGGTAGGTTTGAAACAAGCATAAGGAAGTATATATTTTTTAATGATGCTTAATATTTCATGGACATTGCTGCTGTAAGATGAAAGCAGGCTTGTTAGGCTCGCTGGTTCCARGTTACAAATGTCAGAAAATGCCACTTCCACATGCACAGTCATCCCCAGCGGTCACTGTGGGATAAGCATTAAACACCGCTCCCTGAAAGTGTTAATAGCTCGGAGAAACACAGCCCCGCACGTTGCCCGACACTTTTGACAAGGATCCCATTAATCTCTCTGTGCTCATGTGCCAGCCCTCTGCAGAATGGAGATAATACTGCTGCCTCTCACGGGAGCGCTGGAAATACAGCAGTGTTTGTGAATTCCAGGGCTGCTGCAGTGACTAACACCATGTTCCCCTGTGTAGAGTTCAGGAAAATTTAAATCTTGCTCTTCTTGTGCCCCCACTGTCCCTTGGATGCTCAGCCTTGGCTCTATGGCTTGGGGTCTTTTTTGCTCCGGTCACCTGGGCTTGTGTTGCCTTGGGCTTTTCGTGAGTGTTTTAGGATCTATGTTGGGACTAATGGGAAATSCTCTGAATGTCTGTGGACATTTTGATACTAATGAACAATCCCCAGACATTACTTGCTGGTATGTCAGATATGGTTTTAAAAATGTTTATCTGGGTGTGTTACTAAAAGGAGATTTTGAATATGGTATGTGACAAATTCTTGAGGCTCAACTGAGGGCTCCATCATGCCTCAAGAACAGGAGCCTGAGATACTGTGTATGCCATGGATTTGTCCCATAATAAAAGCAGATATTTGACATCGAGGCTGGTTTCCATGTGCTGCCATTTAATGTTTAATGGGAAAGAGCCTTGAGCAAAGAAATAAAGTATGAAATATTTAATTTTATAGTTTGAGTTTGCACCATATGTTTCCCCTTTATAAATATTTTAAAACACTTCTGCTCACCAAACATGGGCTGTGTGTTCTGCGGGCTTGTGGGTCTTGGCCTAACCTTCCACACTCTTTCTTATTTTGSCCAGGTCTTGGTCAAGTTTTGAGTCACTTCCCTCCAATTAACTGTCTTTGACATGGAGAGCGAGAAAGGTGCCAGAGGAAAGTTCTGGGAAAGCTCAGGCCAGCACCAAGTTAATCAATGGGAGACAGACCCAAACTCAGGGATTTCTCCAGCAGAGACTCAGCTGGGATGTCTTTCCATGCCCATCTTGTGTTACCTCTCTATTGACAAAGGCCTGTTCTTTGGTGCTGCTTATTTATTGATATGGTCATATCTGACTCTGTAATCCTGAGTCAGACTACCTCATTTCTTGCATTGAAGAGGGCTGTGGAAGGTGGTTGAGATGCCTGGGTCCATTCTCAGTTGAGAAAGCTTTTGCTGAGGTATTGAGCCAAAATTCAGGGTAAAGGTTTTGTGTAAAATAGAGGTGGAGGGGAGTAAGTGGGGCTGTTCCTGTGGGACACACAAACACCTTTGGAGAAAGATACAGCCCAGTGACAGTGGAAGACTTGGAGAATGCCAACCATGATGGCCCAAGAGGGCATGTGGAGCACCAGAGATGTCCCTAACTGCCAAATCTCCAACACACACAGACATATCCGGTAACGTATATATATTATATTATATTTATATATATATACACATTAACAAAGAAGTTGCAAAATAAAAACAAACAAAAACCAAAACAAAAAAAAAAAAAAGAAAAAACATAAAAGGAGAAGCAACCCCCCTCCCCAAACCAAACCGAATATGTTACATATGGAAGAGAAGAATATGACAGGTTGCACGGTAACCAGAATTTCACCACATCCCAAGCTTATACAATGGAGTCACTATGAGAAGAACAGTGAGCAGCAGCCCCAGGCCCTGCAGGGAGCAGAACTGTGATGGTCCTGCGGCCTCCATGGAGGGCCAGAGCCACCAGGGCTGCTCCCTGCGGGCCAGATTGTGGGAAAGATTCATTCATGAGCCCTGGGGGGGYTCTGATTGGYCGAAACCTCAGACTCTGGGARAGGTTCATTCATGAGCCCTGGGGGGGCTCTGATTGGCCGAAACCCCGGACAGTGGGAAAGGTTAATTCATGAGCCTTGGGGGAGCTCTGATTGGCCTGTGGGAAAGGTTCATTCATGATCCCTGGGGGGGGGTTCTGATTGGCTGAAACGGTTGCTGTGTCATCAAATGCTGGGCAGTTTTAACCAATGGGATTGCTCGCTCATGGGCTGAGTTGGGTCTCAAAGGGATCTGTTCCCATTGACATGAGCAAGAGAGGGGGCCGCTCATCCCACCTGGATAGTGCTGGGGCAGGTTTGGCCTTTGGAAAAGCATGAGAAACCCCCTAACCCCCTTTCCTGCCTGACATGGGTATGAGACAGATGTGGCGGCTACAGGGATCCCACTGCAATTAGTGCAATTTCATCAGGTGCAAATGTCACATTAATGGCTCGTGTGCTCTGAGTTAATGGGTACGCTCAGTCCTCTAGCAAGAAGCCAGGCAAAGCGGTGCCAGGGCAGGCAGAAAGCTTGGCACCCACATTGCAAATGCTAAAATCCATCTCCAGTGCTTGGGCATTTCTTTGAGGTCGAGGCATTGCAAGCAGCCCCTTAYGGGCCCAACACAAGGGGAAAACAATTTAGTGGCAGCCTCACACATCTTTGAAACAAAACAGGCAAACAGAAATGGCAATTTGTCATCTTAGAAATTAATTGTACCTAAAGCAACAGGTCCCAYCCACCAGCCGTAGTGGCTGCGGGATGAAGGTCAGGCCACTGTCCTCCTGCCATGCCATGGAGGCACCTTCGTCCAGCAGTGCATGGAAAATGCCAGCTCTGCCCATCTAGGTCCTGGCTGTGCCAACAGCTTGGGACTTCTSTAGCGGGAGAGGGTTGAGGATGAGCAGCAGTTTCAAATACTTCCCCTAGAACGTTATCCATAGGACAACAGTAGGTGTCATAGCTCATGGACCAATGCTAACATGGGCCCAGGGCGCAGAGCAGTGACACATCTCAAGGTCTTTCCATGGCCACTGCACTCGCTTTAGACTCCAGCTCCTGGGGACATTGAGCTGCCTGCACCAAGTCACACCAAAGCTCATGTSTGCAGACATCTACGCTGGACTTTTGTTCCCAGGAGCTTCCCACAATGTGCAAACCGATGCCCTTTGCATAGCCCTGGCATTAGCATGTGCCCTCTCCAACCTCATGACCCCCTTCATTCATGTCCCATGCCAGCTCAAGCTGAGATCAGTAAGTGCAGAGGCAGAAGCTTGGCTGTGGGTGATAAACCGTGGAAACCATCTGTGGGCATGACTTTCCTGGCCACTCAGTGCAGGGATATGTGCTTTTCTTCTGCAAGACACTGGACACTAGTGAAGTTTTAGAGAAGCTGCCAAACAGAAAATTCTCACCCGAAATGGTGCTTAGGTCCCACTTGACGCTTGAGATGGCCAGGAAAGGGCTCAAGGAAACTGGTCCCTTCTGCTCCACCTGCATCTCTTGGAGAGACAAGCCCTCTGACCACGCCAGCGCCTGCGAAGGTCACCCAAAAACCCAGTTCGGCCCTTGAATCCCCAAAATGAAAGCAAAACAATCCACATGGCAATCTGCTTCAGGGGGAGGGTTCGCTCACACCGCACTGGGAGTTTCACAAGACTCACTCTCACAGAAAGGGAGCTCGTCAACATGAGTTCATATTCACCCGTGGTTAGAGATTCTTTCTCCCCCTAAAAAAGAAAGAGAAGAGCTTCGTGTGGGAGGGTGCTTGCTTGCATGAGCATTACCGAGCCGGCTGCTGGGCTGCTCTCCAGCCTCGCTGTCTGGAACCATCTGGGCGCCAACCATGAGCATCCATCAGCAACCCAGTGCCGGGCTGCGGGACACGGGAAGGGCTGGCCCCAGCCTAGTGACAGGCTTTCATCCCTGAGACATACGGGGACTCCTGCGGCCTGCAGTTACACTCCTGCTGTTCTGGGTAGTCTATGAAGTCTGGAGCAGGTAGACCCGAGAGGATCATCAAAGATTTGTTCCAGATGGTGAACGTTGGACACACTGGTAGGATGAAGGAAACTTCAAATGTGTGGAGGTGGAGGGAGTTGGCTGGGTCATAGAAGGACAGCGCGTTGTTGTCGTAATCCAAGAGGACGCCGAGACGCTTCATCTGTGGGTGGACCTCCACCAGCATCTCCTTGTTGTTGTGCCTCACCACAAAGTTGTTGTTGCAGCGGGAGAAGACCCAGGATGAGGAGTTCTTTCCAATCCACTCGTTCTTGGGGGCTGACTTGTAGGCGACACCAATGGCGTACCTAGAAGACAGGACAAGCTTTGCTTAGTAACCTACCACCTTGGAGTGAGATAATTGTGTGCTTCAAGAGCCCCCTTCCAAATTATCCTTGGTGAGGTTATTTCATGTTGTCAGTCCTACCAGGGCTTCAACAGAGCCTCAGGAGACTACCCACCATCCTGGYACCTTGCAGGATCACAGTCTTGGGAGAAGGCAGAGTACCCTCTGCCTAACAAGGGGGTCACAGATCTGCTCCTTATTTGCTCCTTATGCCGGCCAGGCTCCAGCTGGTGTCCTAGATGGCAGCCTACAGGTGTGACCACTGCAGAAATGGCACTGAACACACTCTGTGGAGTGAACCTGGAGGTTTCATGGCTCCTTTGGCATGGGAATGGATGGGATTCCCAAGCTCAGTCCATCCAGCTGCTTCTTCCTGTCCTACTTTCCTCCCAATAGCAGTTTCTTCAATATCTTTCAGCAAATCTTCACTGTGCATGTGGGGAGACGGGGAGCAGAGCCCTTCCAGGGCTCCTTGGAGCTTAATATACCYCAGTTGCTCTACAGATCTTTCTAAGCACATCAGCTGCTTTGGTGTCAATGTGCTTTCCAGCAGGGACACTGATCCTGGGATATATGAGCATTTGCTACAGCTGCTGACTCCTGGCTGCCAGCTGAGATCACTCATATTTTAACCTCTGAAACCCATCCCAATAAAGACAGGGGAGACAGGCACATCTGGAAATGGGCTTCCATCTAGCTATGGCAAGAAGATGCATTTTGTGTTCTGCAACAGCTCCATGGGAAGGTTTGGGAGAAAGGTAAGTGATCCCCTTCTGCTCTACAAGCGCATCACAGCATCGAAGACAATGCAAGCTAAGACAAAACTCTCCAAGAAATGACAACACTGGTAAGGGTTGTAAATCACAGGAATCCCGCACTGCCTGGTGATCTCTGCTTTCCAAACAGTGCTTTTCAAGAACCATTTCCACACTATGAATGATTAATGAACTCAAGGGTAGAGAGAAGGCAGTAGGACCTTACCCAGTCCTCCTTACCAGTGTTGGAAGCAAGAGGCTGTGCTTGGGGTATGACCACAAGGGACCACGAGGTAGCACTGTCCAGCTTTCTGCGGTAACAGCAGTCACCAGCTCCTGATGGTGAGCTGGGCTCAGTTTGTGGATGGAAAAGGATGGAAAAGGGTAGGCATGGGATATACTCCTGCAGCCTGAGCTCTAGACTGTCTTTCACGATGTCTTGCAAACCCACAGCTACCAGAATTTAAGCTTCTCCCTCTCAGCAGTGGCCACACTAGCCACCTCTCCAGCCAAAAAAATGTCTTTTATAATAGCAGATCCTACAGTATCTCTGTTGAAATCACTGAGGGTGTACGAGGGATGAAGGAAGGGAGGGAGGAAGAGAAAACAASAGCGGTGCCTACCAGGTTGAGGATCCTACCACCACCTCCCAGTAGTGGCAGCCACTGTCGAGGAACACGTTGCCTGCAGCTCCGTAGCACCCCGTCCCGCTGAACCTCTCGGGTGTGTGGCTCTTCTTCAAGGAGCTCTCATCCTTTTCCATCTGCAGCCCGTCATTGGAGATCTTCAACTTCTTGTGAGCCATCTTAGGGTCTAGCTTGAACGGCTGACCTATTGCAAGGGGGGCACAAGGATTTATGTTTGTTAGCATCATCATGCTGGCTGAACATGGGATGACATCTTTCCCCGAGGCTCTTTGGCCGTCCTCTGCAGGCTGTCACAGTGAAACATGGCAACTGTAGGGACAATCCTTTCCTCCCTCAATCAAAGATGCTGCTTTACAGATGTTAATTAGTCTTATTAATACACTGGGGCATATCCAGGTACCTTGTTCATCTGTTGTCAAGGGCTGATCCACAAGTCAGAGGATCTCTAATATTTCTGTAGGGAATCATGCCAGACCTCCTTAACAAGGGGTGTTTCCAGGTAATAGAAAAGGCACTGAAGATATCATCAAGTACTGCAAACAGACCCTAGCCTGGGTGCATAGTCTGAATTCTTTAACAGATTCATACTCTATTAGCAGTAATGGGAGCTATATGAGCACAGGGAAAGGAGAATAGGCCCTTAAGTGCTGCTATAACAATATTAAGCCGTAAAATAAATGCTGCAGCACAGAGTGTAGCCCCACATTCCCCTCTCCGGCTGATGCAGACTGCTCCCTGCAGATCATACAYGGCTCTTACATTATACAGTGGTTTGCTGGATGCTGCACAGCCTTGCTGCAAAACAAACTGCTGGTGCTGAGAGCTCCTGAGACCAGGTTTCATGCGGCCAAGGGCCCCGCTGACTTTCCCAGGCTGACTTAACCCTGTAGCCTTTCCCTTGCTGACTTTTCCCTGTAGCTTTTCTCAGGCTGACTTTCCCTGTAGCCTTTCCCGGTAAAGCATTTGACATCTCCAGCCTTCCTGGTCCTGGCTGCCTGAGGAAGTTGTGCCAAGGATGCCCCAGGTCAGTTTGGGGGGATACACAATCCTTTTCGCTTAAATGCTTCCCCCTCTGCTCCTCCTTTAATAATTTATGGTCTTTTTAAGACAAGTAGCTGTGAAAAAGCCAAAACTTTGCATTTTGAAAAGCCCCAAGTGATGTGCTCCATTTCAGAGCAGTGAGAGGAGGAGAGCTGCAGTATCTGAGGAATGCTGGTGCTCCCTGCTCCATCCAATTTTTTTGGTTGAGTGCATTTGCTCTCAGTTCAGGAATGACTTTGAGTTTCCCCATGTAACAACTTTTTTTTTGGTAGGTTCACATGAAGGCTGAAAGCAGCCAACCTTTCTCCAACAGTCCTGTTTTGAAGTGCCAAGGTCTCCAAGCAGAGATGTGTCACTCTGCCAGCCAAAGAAACTGAAGCCCGAGTCATCTGTGGCCGAGCTCAGCTCTTCCAAACCACGAAGCAAAGCCAAGGACACACRGGAAAACAAGTCTTCTTCTGCCCTTCTCTGCCACAGGCTGTTCCCTGCTTGCACCAACCCAGAACCCAACTGCGAGGAGTATGTGATTGCRGAATTAAAGACAGCTGCATAATGTGAGAACAGCAGGCATAAAATTAAATTGAACAGGCAACTTAATTCTGGTGCTTTTCAAATCCTGTGCTCTTGGCTTTGCAAACATAATTTCCCCCCCCTTTCTTTCCTTCTTTTTTTCTTTTCATAGGCTTTTTCTTTATGTAATTCCCTAGTTCTTCTTTTTTTTTTTTTTTTTTTCCCATAAAGGAAATTGCAAAGTGGAAGCATTAGCAGCTGAATGTAAGCCCACAGCAACAGCACGGCTGAGATAAACTAGCTGCCAGGCAGCAGTGATTGCAGTGTCCTTTCCATGGGCTGGTAGGAAACGTTCCATGCTCTCTTATGGGAGAGGCATAAAAGCTGATAGCAGGTGGGGTGTTTGAGGGGTCTAAGAACGGTAGATAACATGTCATGCCACACGCACTGGCCATATGCTCTCTGCAAGGAAGGGCAGCTGAACCATGACCCTGTCACATCACACATCTTGGGACTGCTCTCTCTGGAGCTCTACTGAAATCCTGATGTCCTCCTGAAATGAGGGGTGGAGAAGGTGCCTTGAAAACAGTGTCCTCCTACCTGATGTCACCTTGAGGAAGCAAAGCTACAGGACTGTAATGGAGTTGCCAACTTGCAGAAAAACAATAAATCCACCTATATTTTTTCTCTCAACTGCATCTATTTAAACAGTTTGGGAACATAGATTTAGGGCCAGCACAAAAGCATGCACCCTCTCCTAGTCGACCACTTGAAAATGAGGAAAGTATTTTACCACTGAACAACAAATATAGACACGGAAGAAAACAGCAAATAAGGATGTGCTGTGAGCTCAGCCCAGGATGTTCCAGGCAGCAGCACGCGTGAGTCCGTGATGCGCAGCCAGCCCCATGGGGAGTCCTCATACACAAGACTGGTTGTGCAAAGATGAYGACAAAGGCTGCTAAATCAAATGCCTGGAAAATCAAAAGTTCCCCAAAATACCCTTTCCTGAATACCCCCATTTACATTATGTCTTACAACATTACGATTGTCATTAATTAAGTGAGGAGAAACTATTTTTCCATGGGGAGCTTGTTGCTCACCTCAGAGCTGTTGTTCACCTCAGAGCCTGGATGCCTCTTGGACAGGGAGCTCTTGAGTAGAATTTTACTATACCCATGTGTCTTATTCATTGCTCTGAATGGAAACTCTGGTCAAGGTATTGCTGGTCATCTCATAGTATTTCCTGTAGTATATATATATAKTACAATTCCTATAATATATATATATTTCCTATCACTGTAGGGTCAGCCTAGCATTGGATAATGAATCTTCATAGTGCCCTGTTATAATCATAACAACACCTGCACTTAAATCAGCTGCAATTTAAAGGAATTAAAATATTTCCACCAATTTTGGGTGTTTGGCTTCTAAGGACACTCAATATCACATAGCACCCTGGGCATCTCAAGTATGGSATGTGGAAAGAGAAGACCTCATCCTCAATGTTTCCCACCACACAGAAATCATTACTGAAGTAACTTCTGTGGGCCACAGAAAGACCCCAAAGCAGATTTGCCCTCCACTCCACTGAGTCTGGTGGGAACATCATGAGGTTCATGGAGCTGATGGGAACAGCTCACAAGGTTCATGAGGCTGGTGGGAAGGGTATCAGTACTAAAGGCTGTGAGGGCACCAAGCATGTTTAATCACAGCCAGGATTCTGCATGACTCCAGAGAAGCTCCCATTGAGCACAAGCAATTGGTAATCATCCAGAGGCTCATAAACTTGGCCAAATTTGGACAACTATTCACAGTAGTGATAGTGAGCACTTTTCTCAGCCCGAGTCCATCTTTACTGCCAAATTGCAAGTCACCGGTCCAAAAAAAGTTCAAGCTTTGAGCACATGAAAACAGATGGTGACAGAGGAAGTCTAAAGACAAGATGAATGATGAGGTTGGCTGTAGATAAACGCCTCAGCATCAACTGAGAGGAATGCATGCACATTAATGCTGCGTTCCTTTCTCCTCCGTTTACTGAGCTGGAGACGGTTGTTGCAGTGGTCATTCAGCCCCGTGAAAGAAGTTCCTTTTGGCACATGCAGACCTACGGCAGCGCATTTTCTGTAGCGCTCCGGGCAATTCTTGCTCTCTGTCTTTAAAAATGCAACGAGCTGCTGCAGACACATCCACTGAATGAGGGGGAATTCAAAATCTGATCGGGCACTTATTTAATCTACTAAATCAAGTCCATCTCTGAAGCAGAGCACTTAGTACTCTACTAGTATCTCCGATGACTGACACTGAATAATATTAAAAAAAAAAAAAAGAGCATGCCCGGTCTCGAGGGAGCTACTGAAACAAACCTCTTTCACTCCCTTCCGCTCTGTTTTGTCATCTCATCGCTCTTGGCTTGTCAAGTCACCAATTTCTCACTCCCAGAATGAGCTCTCAACACTGGAGAAAGTACTCAAAGACAGCAGCTGAAGGAGGGATACATTTTCAATGAGCAGGGAGGAAGCTGATGGGAGCTTGCTTTTCATCAGCCTCCCTCCATCCCTGACGATGCCCTGGCTTTGTTTAATCGCGTTTCATAAACGAGAGCTGGGTGCATGGGTCCTGCGAAGAAAAGGCGGTGGCAGCGGCAATAAATCACTTGCAAAGCCTCAAGTGCGCAACGCAGATGYGATTGAAACATCAAGGAAGGAGACACAAAGCCTCGCTGTGCTCGTTTGGACCAGGCAGAGGCATTTTATAACCATCACAAGTGAGATGTGGCCATGGAGAAGGTTACACAAAAGCCCGAAAAGCCACTCACAACTTCTGCTGTTTCACACTGACCCTGCTATTATGTCCCACCAAGCAAAAGGAGATAACTGGCCCCAGAGGGGTTGGGGCTTGGCTACTGCAATGGCARGAGCCCAGCCCTTGCCATAACTCCTTGTCGGATAGATCCAGTTCTGCCCTTTGAAGTTAATCAGRTTTTGACTGAATTCTGCTCTGATTTTCCTAGATGTCTTTAACCCTTCTTTGTCTTCCCCAGGGACAAGCTGAAGCGTGAACCACTCCCTGCTTTGTCAACATGGGCCAAGCCCCATCCATCACAGYGCAGACACCTCCCAAACACCTCTTGACCCTTGACGGCACCTCCAATGGACAAGCCAGGGAAGCAGCTGAGAGAAGCAAGAGACAGGCACCCTGCGCTGCCTATCTCTGCCTAGAAGCCCTGCAACAACCCTACAACAAACCAGCATGCAAGAAACGGCTGCTCCTCCACATCCCACCCAATGCAAACGCGCTGTGGCCACCCGGGCACGTACTGTTGGTCTTGAGCCTGGCGGGCTCGCTGTTGCGGCTGCCGGCTTGGTTGATGGCCTTCACGAGGAAGATGTAGCGCGTGCCGCTCTGGAGCCCGTGCACCGTGTAGTGGTTCTGCTTGATGTTGGGAACGATCATCCAGCTGTCCATGGAGTTGTAGAGACCTGCGTGACCGGAGAGGCAGCGGGGGGAGATTTATTAACAGATAACACTCGGAGGGAAGGAGAGAGCACAAACAACACCCAGCTGTTAATGCAGAGCTCGTGGCTCATGCATCCTTCAGGCTGATTTACTGCCTGCCTGAAAGTTAAGAGAATCGTCAGGAAAATTTACATAAATGATAAAACCAGCAGCTCAGAGAAGCCTTTTTTTATTAGCACATGAAAGCGATGCTTGATATGGTAAAGGCAGGAGTGAGGTGCTCAAGATGCTGCTGTGATGAGGAAAGGGTGCAGATAAACAGGATTTCAAATGGAGACTTTCTGACCAGGGCTGGCAAGGAGCTGGTGCTGGGAGCAGATGGCACCCAGGAGAAGGTGAGGGAAGCCGAGCTCAGCAAAGCCCTGATGAAACCTCACTGATCAGGTGAACATGTGCCTGGCTGGCAGCTCTCATTCTTCACTGCTGTTTTAAAGTGCTGCTGATTAGAGACTGGGAAAGGCCTTCCATTAATCTTGGGAGAAGAACAGGACCTGACAGACCACGTCCTGCATGGCTCTTGGGTTGGGAGCAACAACGAATGTCCATGGGACATTGACACTTCATGTCCCTTAGCAGCCTGCTGTGCAAAGGGGTTCAAAAGGAATTGTAGCTCCAGCCAAAGCAGCTGCAATCTGGTACTCAGAAAAATTTCAGGAGCCTAGACATATATATATATATATATAAATACATATATATTTGAAATGGAAAGGAACTAGGAGTTCAAAGACCTGCAAATATATATATATATATATAAATACATATATATTTGAAATGGAAAGGAACTAGGAGTTCAAAGACCTGCAACACCATAAGCCCTCACGCAGCTGAGCTTTCTCCTGCTGAAGCTGCAGGATCCCACACACATTGCAAACAGTATTGAAATGAAAACATGGATCTGTCAGAAAGAATTTCCCGAGCTCCTCCACGCTGCTCCTCTGCTCTGTGGGACCTCATGCCCATGAGGAGACACTGTCTGAGGGGGTTTGTTTATCCCTGGTGGCTCACTCAGTCCTATAACAAGGGCTGGTTACAGTCACAGTTTGCATAGATTTGGTTCAAAATATAGGTTGAAATGGCCCTGGGGATCAAGGCAATCTTATTTCAAGTGAAAAAACAAAGCAGATATGATGCCAATTGCATTCTCTGTACACTACAGAGCTGCTTTCCTTGRAGCATACACCGCCCTTCAGACAAGCACTGGTAGATGTTATCTCATTGCAGACAGGTCAGCCTTGGGACAAAGTGGCTGGGTAACAATAGCCACGGAGTGACTCAGCCTCCAGGACAACTTTCTTGCTAAAACCAATCAATGAGAGGTTGGCCTTGAAGACTGACAACTTCTATTTTTTTGTTCTTGCCAACGTTTTTTTTTTACAGCATTTGTCATCCATAAAAATGCTGGTCTCCTGCCGTGCTCTTGGCTTTAAGGACAGTGTGAGGGGATGGTTTCTACAGGCCAACAGTGTGCTCTTCGGGAAAGTATTTCCTTTAATGGGAAGCCTTCTGGTTGTGTTCCTGCCAGGTAAGCCCTAGCACAGAGCCCCTTTTCCCTGGAGTCAACCTGCTTTTATAGCTGCAATGTAAACCATCCCACTACTTTCAGTGTCTCCTCACGCATGAGTTCAACCAGGTCTTAAATGGTCCCACCACCCAGCTCTGACTGTGCTATTCCAAGTGACAATATATTATTCATTCCTTCCTCTGAGATGCTAAATGTTGCTTTCTTTGCTCCCTCTATGAAGTGCTAACRAAGATAGTCAGGAAAACACTCCTGAAGTTAGTCCATTCTTTTCAGAGCTGGCTCTCCACTTGCTGCAGTTTTTCCTCATCATCAGTATCTACAGACCCCTCATCTTCTTAATGCTCCCACCAAAGTCCATACAGAGCCAATAGGWCTGTGTAGGTGACTAATTCCCAATATCTTCAAAGCATTATTGATTCAGTTTGCTCACTCAACTGAACAAAAACCCGAGCAACCAGGTCCAACTCTGAACTCTGCCAGCTGAAAGCAACATTCTGTGGCTGGGGAAAGCCCAGAAGAGGCGAGTATGGAAAATCCTAGATAGAGGAGGACTGGGTAAACACAATAAATCTCTGACCAAAAGGAAATACGTCATCACGTTTTCATTTGTTTGTTTGTTTTTTAAAAACAAAAGCAAAGGCTCCTAATGAAGGTGGGGGATGCATCAGACTTGTATGCCTATGGCTCAGGCAGAAGCTATTTCTGGTGGCTTCCTGTATATTTTAAGGTGCACTTAACAATTTCCCTGGGCTATGACACAGCATTTCCAGCAGTGATGTTTTACTGATAATTGAGATAAGTTAACAGAGCCCCCAAAAGCCTATTCCAAAGCATTTTGTTGGCATTTCCTACAGCAGTAACTGCTCTTAATTAAAATCAGGGCTAAAATTTTATTGCAAGAGTCATATTGTCAGGATGCCACGCTTTTTTTTTTGAAGCCTAACTTCAAAACAGACAAGCTGGAAGATACATTTTAGTTCTTCTGTTAAAATTTTCATGTTTTTCATCATATTGAAATACAATGTTTCTCTTGGAGCTGATACACTAACTTTTTTTTAGTATGCAAAACCCCTCAAATTTGGGGGAAAAAAAGTACTGTTAGAAAAGCTGACAAAAATACATATTTTTGACACCTGGGGGATTCACTGGGAGCCTAACAAAATAAATCACTGCTTCTGAGTCTGGTAAATAGCCCTTAGCACTATGACTGCAATGCTTTTCCCATATTAACTACACCTCTGCGGAAATCGGAGTTCTTTTCCATGATTACAATCAGGTCAGCTTTTTCTTTTCAAAATAAGCCCTCATGACGGTGAGGAAGGAGAAAAAGGAAATAGCGGCTGCAGATGTGGCACCTCTGTCCTTGGGGGAAGTCACAGGTTTGAGCCTCGGCTTTTGCAACCTGCCGCTCACCAGCTCTCCGGAACAATAATCGATGGTGTTAAAAAGATCAGAGCCTTGGTCTGTTTTGATCATTTTTTTTCCAGGAGGGGGGAGGAAATTAAACAGACATTTGGCATATTTGTCAAGTTTGAATCCCCAGGCAATTCTGGGCCCGTTTCATCTGTAAAGCCTTCAGCAGATTCACGATGTCTGCTGAATTCTGCCTGGCTAATATTAGAGCACAASTCCAGCCCTACTGTCAGAGGCACCACTTTGAAAGGGGAGCTACAACTGCTTTTAGCATCCGAGTGGCTCCACATGGATTTGAACAGCTCGGATTTGCTTTGCCTCATACTGTTCTGCACTGTCAGATCGTGTTTGGCCCAGCATGGTGCAGCGCTGAGAGCAGCTGCCTTAAATATTCCTGGCTCCTCTTTGCCGTGGGGCACGGAGTCTTCTGCTAAACCAAGGTGAAGCTCATGAAGGGCAATAAGGTGATGATGAGTGGTGGTAAGATGCATCCCACATGGATGTCTTTGAGGAGACCTGGACTTCAGCCTTTGCTGAGGTCCCAAAGGGGAGATTCGGTGCCCTCTGCCAGCTGTGCCCATGCAGGACACAAGGCCTTGGTTGCTCCAGCGTGGCTGGGCTCAAGGATGGGCACCTGAGACTCTCCAAGGACTTCTCCTTTGAGTCTGGACCAGATTCGTGACTGCAGCCACATGGGCTCAAGGATGGGCACCTGAGACTCTCCAAGGACTTCTCCTTTGAGTCTGGACCAGATTTGTGACTGCAGCCACATGCTTCCCAGTCCCAGACTGCAGCCACATGCTTCTCAGCCCCATGCTAAGGGATGAGGACAACCCTTGCTGTTAGCTTCTGATCTTCACAGCCACATCCCCAAGGCAAAATTACACTCCCTGAGCAGTTTTGTCTTCCTCTAATTTTCTACTGTGCTTCCTTTTTTTTTCTTTTTTTTTTTTTTTTTTCCTTCTCTGTCTGGCATTTATTCCTGATATTATCCATCCTACTCAGACATCAGGATTAGGGAAGAGTGTGTCTCTCTAAAGTCGTTATAATCACAACCTTTCTTTCTCCTGCCTGCTCTGTTTGAACACACATCACGCCTCCAGAGGGGGCCTTGGAAATAACCAGCCATAAATTGTGAGGAAGTCTCTGGATCAGATCACCTCCCTCYGAAGACGGTGGAACAAGCTGTTAAATGCACCATTAAAATATCCCTTGTAGTAAAAAGGAAATGGTTCCTTTTTAGGAATAATTGCTCCAAGAAATAGCGCCAGTGACAACACAAGTCTAGGTCCTGCGAAAGGCATCTCTGCTCAGTGTCAAAAACACAAAACCACATCAGAAGTGTTGGGTGGAACAGACCCATTGAGGCTGAAAATGTCCTGCCTGGATGGACGGTGGTGCCAACTACTCTATTTTGATCTTATAGCACATATCCAGGATGGAATTTGCACCTGAGACGTTGCTGTCTTGATTTCATGACTGGCCTGGGGGCAGGTTCAGCCTTACAGAGCTCTTCTAAGCTGTCCTGTTGCATAACATGAACTAAACTTGGAAAGAAAGTATGCTGACCAAGACAGGTCCCATAACGCCCCATAATGAGAAGATGGATGCTGCAAYCTCAGCAGCTAATTCCTTGCTCTTTGACCACAGCACTTCCTAAATCATTAGGCACTAACACATACGACTTGGCAAGAGCTCTCATCATTTCTCTAATCCCATTTCTGGCAAGCACATTTGTGCTGGTGTGGAAGAATAATTAGGCAAGGGAGATTTTTCAGGAAGAAGTACCTGGAGACTTTTCTTAGTATTGCCATTGCTATGAAGGACAAATAAATCACGCTTCCTTTTTAGCCCACAGCCTGCAGAGCAGCCAGCTCTGATCTGTCTCTATGACCCCTGGGAGCAATGTGAATGGGTTGCAAGTAACACCAATTTGGGTAGTTTCCTTCATGACCAACTACAAGACAGACGAGATCCTCTAACRTGACAGATGCTTCATTGAGATGATGATAGCCAGATGCTGAATGTGGTGTGAAATGATTTGATTATGGACCTCCAGCACAGGGTTAACAAACTGTACTTCAGAGCACCTCTTGCCTCCTCCATCATTTAGATTAGAGCCTTCAGAGGTGTCCTCAGAGGACCTCTCTTATAGTTTCCTCCCCTAAAATCTGTTTAGGATGGACAACTCTGCCCTATACACTGGGCTTTGTTAGCCAGGGGGTTGAGAGAAGAGATTTCTCTCTTCATCACAACACAGGAGACACCACATCTCAGCACTGCATCCATCTGTGAGCTCTCCAGACCCAAACAGGAATGGACACACTGCAGTGAACCCCATTGAGATCCCCAAGATGACTGAGACTGAAGCACTGAGGRACAAGGAGAAGCCAAGGGTGCTAGTGAAGCCTTGAAGAAGAGAAGGTCCTGGGAGAAGTGGGTTATTCCTCAAAGACCTCCTTCTTCCCAAATCGGACCGTGGTTCCCCTTAGAGAGCCGTTGAGCAAAGACTTACTGATGAAGTTGGCTTGGCCAGTGAAGATGGTGTACTGGAGCTCGTAGGAGCTGACACTGAACTCATCCTCCGATATCCAGTGAACCGTAATTGTGTCATGGGAGGCGGTGCAAAGCTCCTCGCGCACGGACGGAGGGTTAGGTGCTGCAGGAGATCACAAGTCACACATTTTAATAACGCTTTTCACATACAAGCAAGAAATGCTTCGGACAGAGCTGCCTTTTTTTTTTCTTTTTTTTTTTTTTTCTCTTTTCATTTCTCATCCATTCTACGCTTACCCACGTAAACACGAAGAAAATCAGATTTATGTAAGTAATGATGCCCTAGTTTCCTCAGAGCTTGTGTTCCTGCCTTTGATTTTACAGCAGACAGCAGCAMAAACAAGCTGGGCAGCTCCTGTCAAAACATCACCTCGCCTGGGCCAGATAAATGAGCCCAAGAAGAGCCCTCCCTTGTCCTTACTGGTGTTAAGCCTATTCCTAATTTCTTGAAATTTTCCATCTTACTCCTGGAAAAGTCCTTGTTTCTCATAGAGGGTAATAAAGATGCTGTGCAGCCCTAGGAGGGCTAGACCAGCTATATGCATAAGTTTAACAGGGGAGAACGACTGGCAAGCCAGTTTGCTTCCCAACACCCTCCTGATCCCTCTGCAAGGTGCAGGGAAGGATGCTGCCGGTGCCCGTGGCGGGGAGCTGGCCTGCGCACATACCCGTGAGGTAATCCAGCCCCTCCAGCAGCTTCTTCTCTCTGGAAAAATCTAACGCAAAGTTTTCAAAGGCATCATTAAAATTGATATCGGGTATCAGAACTTGCGAGGATGCAGTTGCCATGGCGACCCTGCAAGGCAAAAAAAAAAGAGGGACCATCAATATACAGGTTTGTCAGAGGCTGCTAAAATCAGTAGGAGCTGGGAACATGGATCCATAYGGGGGTACGCAGAGGGGACATGAAGGGGGAACTGGCAGCAGTGACAGCTACTTGAAGGACCAGCATGAAGGTGGCAGAGTCAAACRATGCTGAGTGGGGTCAGGCATTGGACTGGAAGGGGATGCCCCAAGCTGTGCTGTGGGGTTGGGTAGCCCCACGAAGGGAAGCTCATGAGGGTGGCACGGTGCTGGGACACATTCCCAGAGAGTTTGGGGGCTCTATCCTTGGGAGTGACCCAAAGGAGTCGGGTGCTGTTTGCAGAAGACAAGTCCTTAAGGCTGGGCCAAGAGATGCTGTCACCTATTTCCCAGGTGCCACCAGAATTAAAACTGGTGCTGTGTCAGGAGCCTACCTCTCGGCCACGTTCCTGGCTGTCTGCAGGAATCGCGCGTGGTCGTTCTCCTTCAGGATATGCTCGGCCTGATTTATGAGGACTGTGGAGCGCTCCAGACACTGTCGGCAGTTAGCGACTTGCTGGGCCAATTTCCTCAGCTTCATCACCTGGGAGAGGAGCAGAAGGAGATGAAAATACTCAGAAATTTGCTTGCAGAGATGTGCAAGGAGCCCTGGGCTCAGGCAGCCCCAGGGCACATAACAGGCAGAGCTTGAAGATCCAAGGTGAAACCCTGCGAGCTCAAGAGCTGCTCAGTGGATGGGGGAAGCAGAGGAACTGCGCAGGAATGTCTCCAAAGGCTCTCTCTGGAGAGGGAGCACCAGCACACTTTCCATGTTAAWTTTTGATTACAGTCAGCAGAGCCCCAGGGAAAAGTTTAGCAAGAGCAGAGCTCAGACTTGTGGCTGGAAAATGTCACCTTCCCACCACAGATCATTTTGCAATCATGGGCTGCAGGAAGGTGGGACAGGGTGAGCTGCCCACAACACAGACAGTGTCCCTGCCACTGAGCTGAAAARCAAGCCCACGCAACAACTTGCCTCTAAAAATAGGGGTATGTGGCACGAACGGGCTCTGCTCTGGATCATACAGGGTTCACATGAGTCCCTGCACAACCTGGTGCTCAGGGCAAGGATGGCAACCCCACCATCCCTGATGCGCCTGGTGGAAACTCAGATGTGGCCCAGCTTGTGTAGAAAATGGGAGATGAAGGATGTTGGGAAAACCATCCCTGAATCTCCATAAGACTCCCTGAAAGATATTCACGGCTGGCTTAAGACTGTGCTGAGCAAGCCACGAAGGAAGAAACGTTTGATGGCATCTCCTTGCCTTCTGCAAAATAGCGGAACTCAGCAGCAATGAGGAGAGCAAAGCAACCAGAACAAATGCTATTTCTTAGGGTAAATCTCCACRCTCTCATTTGGGGCAACACTGAGCTGAACAAGTAGGTAGCAAGCTCAGGAGGAGCTTAGGTGAAAGGCCACTTAGGACGTGACTCAGGTGGTGGCTATTCCCCCTAAAACTCCCAAATGCTCCAAGMAGCCAGGATAGGGAAGAATGAAAGTCAGTTTGTAGATAAGTGTAATGACAAGCTCTTATCCTGGCAATACACACAAACACTCCTCCTCCTCCCAGACTGAAAACAAAATTGAGCAATCGAGCTATTCCTGGTGTTATGTAAGACGGAGAAGCGCAGAGCTTCACAGATGCTTCTCCCTTAGTGCAGCTCGCTTCCAGCAGCAAACACAAATCTCTTGCTGTCTGATGCTTGGCCGGTGCCAGASACAATATTTTGATTCAGCGGGCATTCCTGGGTCCTACATGGGCACCAGAAGGAAGGAAGTGCATGAGTGCAATCGCAATCCCATGAATGGCCAAGCTGGAAGCAATTCTATATCCGGAAAGCCATCTCAGGAGAGGGCAACTTGGCAATTGCTAACAAAATATATATATAGCTGCCCTGTTCCTGGATGCACCCTGGCGTGCGTGCCTGCAGGGAAGGAGCCTGCAGGTACCCAGAGGAGGAGCAAACATCTTCCAGAAGCCAGAACTGTGAATATTTGAAGCAGCATACCCCAAAATGATTTTCTTCTTTCCCGTTTTAACTGAAGAGCGGGACATTTTGCGAGCCCTGCCAAGCCCCCGTGACAGCAGCTCACAGGGCTTCTCACTTGGCAGCTCCTCGCACACCGCCACTGTCCTGGAACACGCTGTCAATCCGAAACCCCTGTCCACAGTGGGAAAATCTGACAAGAAACAGGAGCCAGCAGCTTTCGGAGCTGACAAGGGGAATACTTGAGCAGCTCTTTTAAGGCATCAGCACTGTCAGCACTCTTACATTTAAATATGAGGCTAATCCCCCTTCCTGACACCACAGCTCTGCTCTCCCTTGCACCGGTCTAGGAAACTGAGCTTCCTCCCATCAGTTCCCTTAGCACTTTTGCAAGAGCTCAAAATAGACTGAACCAAGGCAGAAGAACCAACAGATGAACCCAACGAGTGCCGTGAGTCAAGTAGAGCCGAAACATATTCCTCAATAAACTGACCTGGAGCCAAATTTGGGTTGGCAAATGATGGTCAGTCGTACCAAGGGTCAAGGTATGATGTTCTCTGTGTCCCAAAGGAAAAGGACAAACATTGGTCCAGAAGCAGGACTCAAACACCAGGACAAGATCTCAGGTGCCATGCAGAGACTGAGGGACCATCTGGCAAGTGGCAGGTCCAGRTATCGTCTGCCACCTCTTTCTTTTTGGTTGCTCTCCTGAGGCTGACACTTGACACTAATCTTGGTTGAGTCTCAGCCACCTACACACGTTGAATGCAGGTCAAGGAGTTTGCACAGATGGAAACTCTCTGCTAAGTGCACCCCCAGCTGTCCCCTCACCTGTCCCACTGGGTCCCCAGAGCATTAAGAGATGGCATGGAGAAGATGTCACTGGTGAGGATGGTGGAAACACACTTGTGCTTTTTCCTACAATGATCTCCTGCAGGTCTCAGTGGTTTAATAGCTTTGACCCCACTCCCCACCAGCRTTTTGACAACTCCCAGATGCTCAGAAACGTGCACACAGGGAGCTGGAGGCAGGAGCGAACAGCAGCACGAGCAGATGAAGCAGGTAGCGCCCGTTGTGCCATGTGGCACTGTGATTTACGACAGATTTGCTACTATTACTGAGGGCTGCAGTAAGTGCACTATCAATAACAGCCTCGCAGCACTCCGCCGGCTTCCACTGCAGCAGAGAGTCGCAGGCTGTGACTCACTGTTGACTTCTCACATTCAAGCTCACGTGTAGCTTCAATTACAGCAGCAGAAAGTGCATGGTGAATTCATAAGCACTCCTCCCAGGGCCTGACAAGCTGCCACATACCCAATACACTCCTGCTAAACCTTATTTTACTCCACTGCCACCATGCACATCTCCCTGTGGTGCTGCCTAGCAGGCAATGGGGCAGCTGCATGGACTCGTGCTGGCTTAACCGGGGTGCTAGTTAGGTCTGCACACATAGCTGAATGCTCAGCAGGTTGTCAGAGCCGGCTGCTGTGCTCAGTTTGCCTAAAGCCAGCACTAGTTGGCTAGTGGGACATGGGTGGCATGTGTCTTTTGAGGTAAGAGGCTCCAAATACCATTGCAAGCTGGGGAGGAGCTGAGCTCCAGCGTTGAGAGCCTGTCAGCCGTACCAGCTCTGTCCACRGGGAGATGGCTTCTGCAGCCAGAACCACAAATGTGGGAGTATCTGTCCCTTAAGTAAGTAAAAACTGGTCCTAAATATCAACTCTCCTTGCCTCTTCCTGGGAAAGGAGGGCAGAAAGCTCGGTCTCCCTGTGATCCCACATCTGCTTCTTGCTGTAAATGGAAATGAATGTAATTGCACCACGCTGCCCTGCTGTGCTTTGTCCTCCCCAAGAAGAGTATCCAGGTGGAGATGCATCCCTTACCATAACTACCAYGCCACCAGCACCAGGGGCTCATCACTTTATCATGCATTATTTTTGAAAGCCTCAGCTCCTGGAGTGGAGTGATTGCATCAGGAAGTCTGCTGTCATTTTCCAGGTATGCTTCAGTTCTCTCCTTGGCACAGCAAAAACCTATAAGAATGTGACCTGATGARGCTGAGAAGCAGGAAAGCCCTTGAAAAGACCCGCTCACTTGATTTTGACAATCCCATGATTTTTCATTCAATTCCCTCACCTTGCGGGCTGCATTATGAGCCTGTATAAGCGGGGCCTGCGAGAAGTCCCTTTTCCAAAGTACACACTGGCTCCCAGGCACTGGAGTTTCAGCCTGCACAGGGCATGATGCCCTTGGCTCCTCGTGGCCTGGATCATCCCTGTCCATCGTGCTGCAAAGCCAGGGCTGCAGTCAGAAGAGCAGGGTTCAGGGCACACATGYTACAGCCAGCAATATCTTGAAGCAGCCATCCAAAGAGCACAGGTCATGTCTAACTTATTGGGGAAGATACAGATGAGTAAAGCCAGGAACACTGTACCCAAAACCATGCCATGGGTCCATCCATACCYTTTGCCTTTTCCCTCTCCTGTTTTCCTTGCTTCCTAGTTTACAGGGCAGCAGAGCATTGCTCTGAACAAACCCATTAGTGAGCAAGAGGATGTCAGTTTGGATGAACRACAGGAAAGAAGGGGAACCAGGAGGACATTCGAGTGTCATGGACCAGCTAGAGAAAACAGTACAAAGCTGACAGCCAGACGGATTCTGCCCCTGGCTAAAGGTAAGTACCTAAGATTAGCAGAAATGTTTTGCTGCATGGGAAAGGCAAGGAGCACTAATGCTGCTGTCAATTACAGCTACTGATTTATGGCACTCTGGGATGATGCGACCACATTGCTGTGATCTAGCTGTACATAGCTGCACTTGATAGGGAAAAATGTCAAAGAGATGCTCTCTGCAAAGCAGGCTGTATCCAGCCTTTGGTGGGTTTCCAAAGACACATCCAGCAAATTTCTAAAGGTTCCCAAGCACACATCCTGTGTGACACAGCCACGACAAGGGCTATTTCCATCTGGATCCCCAATACATTTTTGTCTCTAAATGAGAAAAYGGAAAGAGACTTATCTGCAGAGCTTCTGTGAAGCCCAGGGGCAGGAGGGCATCCTTTCCACTCAGCTCTCTCCCACACTCCTGGGATGCTAGAGAGCTTCATCCTGATTAAACCCACACAAGGGCAGAACAAAGCCTTGAGGGCTTTAYATTGTCAAATGTTTGAGGTTGGGGCTCCTAGGAAAGGTTCTCACTTGGAAAGGGTTGCTCCTAGGTGTTTCGCTGCTGTGARGATGGAGAAACTCCTCGGTGCTTATCCCGATGTCCTGTTCCTTGTTTTGCTTCTGAGYAGCTCGCAGCAAACACAAGAGGTTGGAGTGCAACACAGAGCTGTGCTCCTTCAGCCTCAGCAGAACCAGCTCTGGCAGCATGGGGTGACTGCATGGGTGCCAGCAAAGTGGCACATCATCCTCTCCAGCCCAATCTCACCAGCTCCAGGCCTCCCCATGCTGGTACTGTTTCCAAAAGGTCTGGCCTGGCTGCACTTCCGCATCATCCGCTGCACTTTTAAGTATCATCCCCTGCCCTTTTGCGTTGGCTTAGGTTGTAAAGTGGAACCCCACCTGCTGGGATCACCAAACCCTAAGGACTCTGCCCTGCACCCCCTGAATTCGCCCATCTACCCTTTTTCTCCCTGGTACGTCTCGCTTCCTGCCACATTCCCAACATCCTTCTCCAGGTCCGGTGTTGGGCTTGAAGCKGTATGTGCACAAGGTTACCGGCTCGCAGGGCTGAAGATTTATAAGCATCTCAGCATCTCTTTCCCTTGCTGGGCACCAGCCAGGACCTTGCTTCTCTCCCCAGTTGCCAATTCTCATGAAATCTGTAGGCAAGCAACATCGCTGAGAAGTCCAGCCCATTGCCTGGTGTGGCTGAAATGGGACAACAGGGTCCAAAGATGTTTGGGGGAGAGGGGAGGAAGCAAGGAGCAGACAGGCAGATGGACCAGCAGACGGCACCGTTACATAAGGCATGTTTTCCTAAGCGGCGACGCTAAAACCACGTTCACGTTGCAGCTGCTGCTCCTGCCGAGGGTGCAGGAATCCGAGTGTCACMCTGTGAATAAATCTATATTTGGGGTGATGATGCTCCAAGTAGGAAGAGTCCTCTGACTTAATGTGCTGGGATGGATACGTTCAGCTGGGGCTTGGTGCACGTTCACGCTCCATGAGGATGGAGAACGGCTTGCGCACACATACTATAAACTCCCTCGGGAGCCACTTGGACCGGGATGGAGTCCCGCTTTATAGTCGCAAGGAGACTCTACAATAACAGAGCGAAAGGTTGAAGCCCCAGCAGCGTTAAGAGCAATTCTGAGCTCACTTGGCCTTAACACATGCTATAATTTAAGAATTACAGCTGATCCGTTGAGTCTCTCCTCCACTGAATGGAAACTACTGAGAAAAGCCAGAACACCTGGAAGTGCTGCAGAAAGGGTCCAAACACCTCAGACTTTTAGAAAATCCAACTTGGGGCTAAGCTGCAATGCAGAACATGCGGTTTTATCTGCAGTAAAGGCCTAAGATGGCCTTTCAATATTAATTCAACATTATTATATTAACCCCACAGTGCTATAAAACCCCTGAGGAAGCTCTCTGGACCGATGCAAGCAACCACACCAATTCAGCATGCTAATCAGAGCGCCTTCCCTCCTCCAGCCATGACCCTTCTAATACGGATGTGTCCTCAGCAGAGGAGCCCTGGGGACAACAGCAGYGTGGGACACTGTGACCCACCCAGCAGTCTGGGTGGCAGGGAYGGGAAGGTGTGCTCACTGGCGGCTGTCTGAAGCCATTCCATATGGTGGAAAGGCAACACTCAGTGTACAGCTGTGTCCTTTACACGCTGCTGTCACATCCCAGCACCCCAGGCTGCAGTTGCCCCATGGTGTGGGAGGAAAGGTCACCACGGATGGGGACACAGACAAGCCCTCGTGCACACGTGCATAACCCAGTGAGCTTCTGCACTCACGAGCGGTCCATCCTTACCTTCGTCTCTTTAATCTTGACAGCGATGACTTGCTTGCGCTGGCGGATGATCTCCATGAGCTCATCGCACTCCTCCATCAGCTTGGCCTCGTGCATGGCTGTATTCACCTAGCCACGAACAGCAGAAGGTGACATTGTTGACACTGTTAGAAGGTAACTCGCTTGACTTCAAGCTTGGCAGTTCTAGGGGCTCTTGCAGCTCATGCTGAGTGACAAGCAATGGCTTTCCCTGGCAAGGTTCCTGTGGTCCTCCAGACTGAGCTCTAGCTCTGCCCAGGAGGTCAGAGCAGGGCTGCAAAGACCACAGTCAGCCAGTGATTTATCATGGTAAAGTCTCAACAAAAGGGCTACAGGCCAGCTGGGCTAGCAATGCCATGTAGCATTGCTGCATCGTAGCTTCCTCTAGCCTTGTTTTCCTGGCCACCTCCATCCAGGCTTTACACACACTTGGAAAGCAAAGGAGGGGTTGGAGGCCAACCCAGGGTTAAATGGAGATTCATAAAGATCTTTTTTTAAAAGCTGCTGAGCAGATTATGTAACCGAAGTGGGGAGACAGCTGATGGAGGTCTGCAAAGATAACTCCGCCGAGAAAAAATAGTGGATAATCTCAAAAAATCTCAAAAATCTGCTGTAAGGGAGAGGAGGAACAAATCCRGGGGTGGGAGTCCTTTAGCAGGCACCATGCTACCCTTCCAACCTGTCTTGTTGTGCAAAACTCCTGGGCTCTGAGTTAAATTAAATCTCAATCAGAAACCTTACCCAGAGCAAGGAATTTCAGCTCTGCCAGCATTCATGCTCTGGCGCAGAGCTCACATGGGGATAGAGCACAAGTCTGAAGTCCTGTCACTTCCCTACCGCATGGCTGAAACTGCTGAACATGAAAAGCCTACAACTGGTTCTAAATATAAATCCCCAAGATGACCACCTTCCACGGACTGAAGGCGCTGACATACCCAGATATGTCCCTGCTCCACTCCCAGCAGGGCCTTGGACTCATTGTATGACCTATAAAAACTGAACAGTAGTGAGTGTCACCAGGGTTCTGCAAGGGACGTCCGGCCTCCTCCTCCTAACATTGCCTGCAAAACAGCTGCTTGCTGTTTATCCCCCTGTATTCACTTTCAAACTGCCCAAATTATTCTTGRCCCCAGAGCACCAAGCCCTTTCTAAGAGACGGAGAGTGAAGATGAACAGGCAGCTCCCCAGCACAGAAACATCTCCATGTGCTTCACTGGAGAAGACTTAACGTAAGGCAGTTGCACGCTGCATCACTGCTGCTGGCTTTGTGCACAAGGCATGAAAATTGGCAGCCTGTTAATAAGAAACTAAATTACCAGAACTTCTCTCCATGTATCACTTCAGTAGACGAAGCTGCAAATTAACTCCCTATTAACTGGTAGGTGCTTTGGAACAACACTGAGGTATTAGCTGCCTTCTTCCTCTCCAACAGTTTTCGTGATTGCTCATTGCCATGAACTGCCGGCTCCGGAGCCACTGCCAAGAAGCAGTGTCAATCTGCTGGAAAACGTTTCCCTTGGAAATGCAAACAAGAGATGCCTGATTGCACATTGYGAGCACGAGGAGTTTCTTAGATGGAGTGGTCAAAGCAGCAGGGTCATCTGAGTCCCTTTCTTCCACGAGATTAAAGGCGATCCTCTCCCTTCCCCTGATGTGTTCCTGTAATCCCCAATACAAAGCCTTTCCTACTYGCTGCTGGCTTAAGTCTGAGAGCTGTTCTGCTACAGAAAGCAGATGCCGGAGCAGGGGAGATTGCAATCACAGTCTTTCTGAGAGCAAGAAGGATGCAGGGAGGCCAACTGTATAATTTGGACGAAGGGAAGAACAGCAGAGCATTGCACTGGCTGGAGAATCAGCAGAGCCCTGCACCTCAAGCAAGACGTAGACAAAAAGGAGTCAATCTAGCTGACAGAGGAATTAAAAAGAGCTCCACCTGCAAGCACAGCACAGGCTACTGGAGGGAAGAGCAAAACAACCATTTGCCTCTATCTATGGTGGACAGGACAGAACGGAGAGCCACTGGTCTAGACACAGCAAGAGAGATTTAAATTGGATTTTGGTCCAGAAAAACCTCCTGGCACCAAGCAGCATGAAGTTCCCGATCTCCTGGGAAAAGTGCAACGTCTCTGTCAAACATTTAGGATTAGGTGAGACAGATATCTGTCATGAGTGTGACAGTGTGCCTTGAGCGTTGACAGGCAGTGATCTTGTCCAGCCCCCGCCTGTGACTCGCTGTTTCAAGGGTCACTTCATAGACAGTGGAAAGGCTCCCAGAAGAACAGGATTAGAGAGGCTCTCCCCAGGGGTCATGACATGGCTACCACTAAATTAAATAGCAAAATACCACCAATTTACACAGGCAAATGGGAAGACATGGCCGGAGGCAATAGCTGGAAGCCTTTCCTTTTATAACAAAGGTCTGAGGAACACACTTGTGTAATCAAMCCGTTGGTGTTGATGATCCCCCCCACTCCCATCTTTGCTCCAAGGCAGTCTCCATAGAAAGGACATGGGAGCTCTCCCACACATCTCTCCACCATGACGTGGCACATCTACTCCCATGACAATCCCTGGGCCGTCTTCTGACACCCTGTCCCATAACACCTTTGTGATAGAGAGCGTTTGCTAGAAGGTGGAGTTTCCCTGTGCTCCAAGACCTACCCCGTCACACCCAGACATTTCCCCGGAAAACATTGCTCTCACCAACCTCCACTTGCTGGCAGATCTGTATCAGCTTGGCCATCTGATTTTCCAGCTCGCTGTTACGTTTAACCAGGTTGGTGAGATTCGTCTCCAGGGTTTGCTGCGAGAACAGAAATGGGAGAGAGAGAGAAAACGGCGTTAAGGACAGAAAGTGTAAGACTAGCAAAATCAGAGGATTATAACCAACTGGTCATCAACAAAGGACACCATTTTGCCCAGGGGAACAAAACCATCAAAACCATCAGGCAAAGGCCTTTGAGCTTCTTGAGAGCTGTTTCTTCTTATGCTTGTGGGTGCAGGGCTGAGACCTAGAGCTTTGTCTAGAAGAAGAAGACACCAGGTTGGACATCTCCCTAAAATTCATGTCGTCCTCTTGCTCAGCTCAGTGATGACCTAGGGTGGGCAGCAAAATGCAAGAGAATGGGGGAGCCTTTGGACTCTGCAGTCTTGCTGTGGACATCAACAGCCAGGGAGAAGAGGGTGGGTGCCTGCCCGTTCTTCTGCTTGGGCCCTTGCTGCTCTGTTTGGCAGGCACCTGGGGAAGCCACAAAGGTTTTACTGCTGCTGCAGGAAAGCTGCGGATCTCCCAATTTTCCCGGAAAACTTTATGGGCACCAGGAAAAATATCAACAGCATTTAATTTTCTCAAGCTATCAAGTCTCAAACCCACATTTCCTCTCATTCCTCCTACAAACACAGAATTTCTCCTGGTGATGGGTGCTTTCCAGACAGTCAAGGCTAGCAACACAGTACGACCGAGGGTAAACATCGGAGTAGCACCGAGGGTAAACATCGGAGTACGACCGAGGGTAAACATTGGGAGTAGGATGGCTGCAAGGCTTTTCTGAATAGGAGCAGTGCCTCAGTGTATCCTTGTGGGAGGACGTGTCAATTTTTGTTGTCCTTTTCCCTCCCTCCTCTTGTGCCCATTCAAAAGTTAGATATTGTTTACTATCCTCTATGGGAGGACAATCCCTAAATGCGTCYTTCAAATCAAGTATTGAATTGTAGTGATATGAAGAGAGGATCTGGTTTAGAATAGTGTATGGATCTGGAAGCGTGGGATGCCAGTTTGATTATTTCATTTATTAGTCTTAAATCCTGTGTTTTTCCTTGTTTTTTGGGTTTTTTTTTTTTCCCCTTATGCTTTTCTGTTTGGGCCAGACGTTACAGCTTTCCAGCAAAGTAAAACATATTCCTGGATAGAGCAGTTTCCTGTTATTCAAAACAAACTGATTGCCTTGTCTGCTGTGAGGGTCAGGAGCGTGTGAAGAACGGAATGGAGTGGCCACAGATCTGCTTGGCCTGGTGTCCCCACGTGCAATGTCCAGTTCTGGGCTCCCCAGTACAAGAGGGACRTGGAGCTGCTGGAGAGAGTCCAGCACAGGGCTGTGAGGATGATCAGGGCCTGGAACAAAGGCTGAGAGAGCTGGGCCTGTTCAGCCTGGAGAAGAGAAGGCTGAGAGGGGACCTGATCAGTGTCTATAAATACCTCGCTTGGACGCAGCCCTGTGCCACGTGCTCTAGGTGACCCTGCGTGAGCAGAGAGGTTGGACTTCGTGACCTGTGAGGTCCCTTCTAACCTTAAGCATTCTATGATTCTATGATTCTCTCCCAACACATCCCACCTTTTTATACCGATAGAAAAAGCTATTCTACTTCAACTTCCAGCCAGAAATTCTCTTTGATAGCAATGAATAGCTTCTATTTTCCATGCCTACTCTCCCCTCCTCATCCTCTGCTGGCTATGGAGATAAAGGCCTCCTAGGAGAAGGTTGTGGGCTCAGTGTCCAAAAGTGTGTGAGGGAAAAATGCACAACCTCTCCATCAAATGAGAAGCACAAGCAGAAGAAAAAGACAACTGAGTGCACAGAGCACTTTTGGTGAGCTCCTTCTTCAGGAAAAGGAGAGAAGCACCCAACTGAGTAGAGGAGAGGAGATTCAAGCACAGTTTGCAGACCCTTGCAGGTTGCAACATGTAACCCCTCGTGTGAAGCAGAGCAGCCTGCGAGCAGCTTCCCAGCTCTGCTTCTTATGCTAAATGTCCATTTATGCAATATTGCTGGGGGTGAAGACAATGGAGCAGAGCTTGGTGCAGCTTAAAAAAAGATCTTGGTATCTGTGGACACACAGTGGACTTATATTTGTTGGTATCAATAATTCAAGCGACACTGCATTTCCATTAAAATATGTGATTCCGCTAACAGCAAATGTTTTAGGACAAAGTGCTTGCTACCTGTTGCAACGCTTGTCATGGAAATGATATCCCATTAATATTTTAAGCTTTGGGGCTGAAAGAGCATCCCTGTGGTGTCTTCTGTGGACTTCAGTAGCCCAAGAAACTCCCAGAGCTTTCATTAAGTTGCAAGCGCTTTGCACACYCGTGCTGCTAACCGTTCTTGCCACCAACTCTGCTTCCAGCTCAGGGTTATTAAACACAATCTGACGAAAGCATGGAACGTTTAACGTGCTAATTATCTTCCTCATGGTGACTGATGCTGCAGCTTTGAAATTGCAGCGGAGCTGCTTTCATGTTCACGGAAGGCATAAGTGGGAGGGAGAGGGCACAAGCGCCGAGCTGCGCTCTTTGAAGCACAGAAGTCCACTGATGCTCTGATGGGAAAAGCAAGGGATCACCCCTGGATGATCCTGGCAGAAGGCATGCAAGGAAGTCACTTGGATTTGCTTTACTGCAAGCCTGACTTTCCATGTTTCTCTTCGTGCAAAGACAGCCAAAACTGGGGAGTGTTTACATGTAGTGATTCATTTAAGGCTTCTATTTCATGTTGTTGCTCTTGTTCGTTTATAATTGCTTTATATAAAGGGCGCACAGGCCCCGTGCCTCCTCCACCCACCCTGCAAACACAAAACACATGTGTATGGATAAACACGCACGCACATGCAGACCCCTGAATCCAAACCAGCTGGGCACCCATGAGCTGGCACCACAAGGGCCTCCTGCCCTGCCTGCTGTGGGCATCTTGGGCTGCCTTCTCCAGGCACAACGCCCTGGGTGAGGAGTTGAAGCTCCTGGGGGGCAGGAGCTTGGGACTGTCAGCACGAGGCCAGCAAAGCCACCTCCATGCCATGCTCCAAACCAAGGTGATAGAGTGACTAATGCACCCATCAGTGCTGGGAGCTGCACATCCCTCCGGGAGCTTGGAATGAACTCTCACCTCTCAGAAAACTGGCTTACAAAAACAACCCCGAGGAAATATGGTAAGACAGCTATTTGCCTTGCCTTAATTTTAAAAAGTCACTCCTGCTGCCACCTGTCATGCTCACGCGCCTCTCCCTTTGCCAGCCACAGCAATCGGGAGCTTCTCTGAATTTATTTCTGAGGGTCAAATCACCAGGAGTGTTGCAGGGAGGGATGCATCTATCTGCTTGAACCCACCGCATTCAGTCCTCAAGCAAAGTCCTCTAATCCCCATGCTGGAGCACTGGGGCTCTTCATCCTGTCCTCTTCCATATCCTGTCACCTTCCACAAGCTGCCAGAGGGGAGAGGAGGAGGAAGATGAAGGAACCTCCGGGTGTACCGCAAACCCCAAGCGCTCTGAAGGGGAGTGAGCTGCGAGGAAGACTCCGAAATCAGAGCTCCAAGACATCACATGTCAAAGCAGGCGGCATTAGCGCATACTGCAGCTAACGGCTGCTTCCAGATTCCACTTCAGCGGAAAAAAAAAAAAAGAAAAAAAGAAAATAAACAGGGATAAATGAATGCAAAAACCACAGCTCTGTTTGTTGTGCCACCAGCTAATTAGCACATATTGGATTTGAGCTTTATTAGCTTTTTCCCAGCATCTTCTTTTGGGCTGAGTTAATCAGCGCTGCTTGAACTCATCCTGCTAGAGCTGATTAGGGAGAGCAAACTCCTCTCATGTCTCACCTCCCTAAAGACACCAGTCCCTCCCGGCTTGCAAGGCAATTCCTCTCTGCCCCAACTGGCCATGTTTTTGCATAGGGATCCAGCACTTGGCAGGACCCCACTGCAAACACGGCAGCTTCCCAGCAGCTCGGGCATTTAATTAACCAACAGTCTAATGAGAGCAGATGGGCCTGGATGGAAGTTTGCTAAAGTACTGAAACAGCAATGGGTTATTTATTCCTCTTTCTCATGTCTGCTTGACAGAAGGGACTCAGTCCCAGCTCGCTTGCAGCTGCAGAAGACTCTGCTATGGTCCAAGGTGTCCTGGCCACCTGCTCCATCTTCTTCACTGTGAGATTTCTACGACAATGAGATGTGGGTATCTGCAATCCAGCCCAGCCATGATCCTCAGGCACAACAGCCTCCTATTTTTTTCTTCTTCATCTTGCACACATCCATGCTAGAAACCAACACAAGAAGCTTCCAGGACATGTCAGACATGAGACTCCTTAATGCAAAAGGCTCCTCTGCAGCAGCAAGGACGCCGTGATGAGATGAGGCTTGTTGATCCTTTCCAGGAAATTCCATTCCTCCCGCTGCAGCACTCAAGCTCCGTTTTCTTGGCAGGTTGGAGGCGGGAAGGGAGAGGTAGCAAGAGGGAGGGAATGGAAACTGCAGAAGACATTGCTCGCAAGGCAAATTATAGTAATCACGTTCAATTTCCACAGATGTGGTTCATGACCACTGGCAGCTGGAAAATCTTGCAATTGCAACAAGCAGGCCCTTAAAATTAAGGATATGTCGTATTTTTGCTCACGCAGGCTTGCAACGCTGTCAGCTTGCAACAGTGGCAAGATAGATTCAAACCTTCCCAAGGAAGAGCCAGCGAAAGACACGTGTGGCCACCTCTGTCCTGCAAATCTGCTAGGAAATCTTGCCTCTCTCTTGGTTTATAAGAACATCCAGCGTTTTTTCCATGATGGTTGCTGGCAACAAAGTCCTGTCCTCAAAGTATGTTGCATTCTTCTGGCAAGCTCCGGTGGTCCTTGAGAAGGTCCAGCTGGGTGGCTTGCTGCAGAGCCAGCCCCATAGCTTCTTCCCAGGCAGCCCAAGGAAGCTACCACCTTCCTGCAGGGCTCTGAGCAGCTGAGACCTTGCTAGGAGGAGTCTTCAGCCCGGCTTGACCTGCACACTCAGTCTCTAAAATGAACACTGGGAAGAAAGCCAAAAT